CTCAGGTGTATGATGGTGATGGAGATGAGGCAAGGTTCCCCAAAACAAAGGAGTCTCAGAATGATCTAGGAAAGTGAAGAACAAGGGGTACAGGTAAGCTTGAGGCAAAATCATTGTCTTGTCCTGTAATGCTCTGTATTTTACAGGTAAGGACCATAAAGAGATATTTCCTGAAATATTAGTTGCTGTTCTCTCTCTCTCTCTCTCTCTCTCTCTCTCTCTCTCTCTCTCTCTTTCTCTCTCTCTCTTCCTTCCTCCCTTCCTTCCTTTTTCTTTCTTTCCTCATTTCTGTCTTTCTTTCCAGGTGCATGGTTATTTTTACCGCATGTATATCTATGAACCACAAGTATGCCTGGTGCCCACAGAAGCCAGAACAGGCCATTGAATCCCCAGGAAATGGAATCACAGATTGCTTATGAGCTGCCATGGGTGTCCTGGGAACAGAACGTCAGTCCTCTACAAGAGCAACCCTTGCTCTCAACCACTGAGCCATCTCTCCAGCACTCCCAGGTGGATGTTTGCAGAGGCAGATATTCCTGGAGAAGGTAGAGATGTGCTCTGCAGAACTAGGTTAGGAATTTTGGACTTTAACATTTTCCATATGAGACCATTGTTACTCATACCCAAGACCTAAGGCCAATCCATGAAAGGATTACTTCTCTAAGGAGTACAATGAGGTATGATGAGAGACAGATGCTAAGGTTGTTTGAAATAGTCACTTCCTGGGCAGAGGGAGCCCTGAGTTAGATGCAGGGTCCTTTGGAAGGAAGAAAGCAAAGCCTTCCTTCGTCTTTCTGGAGCAGTGACAGCAGAATTCCAGAAAACACGTGATTTCCTGTCCAGCAGCCTGGTTGCAGAGTCCAGGAATTTTTCCCAAATTCTTCTGAGGCAGGTAGTTTAGTTCCAGAGTCAAATCTAACTGTCCATTTGGTTTCGCTTCCTGGAACAGACATTCCCCTTGAGTTGCTGATGACCAAGATTGACATCTCTGGAAAACAGCTCCTCTCCCTCCACAGAAACCTGAGAAGATATCCAGGGTGATAACACTGTATACAAGGTTGTACATAGACAGCTTCTCTGTCACCCATGGCCTGTGTGAGGCAGATCTACACATTGAGGTTTCTGTGTCTCAGTTTCCCAATGATAGCACACATAGTAAGTGAATGTTGCCATGGTGATAAGGTAGCCTAAAATGTGAACAAGGCCCTGACACTGGGACAGGACAGCAGTATGGACCAGCACTATCTGTTACTACGTGACTGCAGGAGAGAATCGGCTAGACCTAATCCCTGAGGACATGCAGTCATCAGGAAAACCTACACCCTCTGTCCCACCCCTTGGTGACCCTGACTGTCTTGTTAAGACTCATAAGCCCATCAGAACCATTGGCTAATGTCCTGGGCACCAATGCAACTTGAGTGTCTATGCTGAGACTCAGAAGGAGATGCCCAGGTGACTATTGGTACCCAAGCATTTTGTGGAATGTCCTGGAGTTGGAGCAAGGTGAGATTGTGTTTCCTCTTCACATACAACAGCAATAGCATATATTGTTTGAGGAATCTCTTGGACCAACCTGACCAAGAGTTTGAAAGGAGGTTTTTCATCCCTGGTTCTGGATTTCTATAAATCAATGGCTCTTGGTGTGGATCATTCTCATGCCAACTTCATTTAAAAATATGTGTATATGATGTACTTTTAGGTAAACATAATATAATAATATGAGTGCTTATAACGTTTGAAATATCCTTAATGCTATATATTCCTCTTCTATCCTTCCTCCTCTGTATCAAACTCATTCACATCCACCAGTTAAGAACCCCCCTCCCTTTTTCCATTCCCCTTTCTTAGCATCTGTACAATGCTCATCCTACCCCCATTGTCTCTTTTAACTTTCCTACTTCTCTGGGTATTCCAGTTATGAGAATTACAAATGTGAAAGAATATATCACTGTCTTTCTTGGTCTCAGTTACCTCAGTCATATTTTCCAGCTCCACTCATCTACCTGCAAATTTTATGCTTTCTTTTTCCTTACAGCTGAATAATTTCACTGGGTCTATGCATCACATTTAAACATAAACTGCATCATCATCCCAATAGATGCAGAAAAATTCTTTGACAACATCTAACATGTCTTCATGGAACAAGTCCTGGTGAGTGTAATGATGGGAGGAGAATACATCAATATAACGCAGGGTACAGATGACAAAGCCACAGTCAGGGGATGTTTTAATTGTGCTGAAATGGGATTTTATTTGTATGTTAATAAATAAAGTTTGCCTGGAGGTCAGAGGTCACATAGTGAGGTCACATAACGAGCCATAAGCAGAAGTCCGATGGTGGTAGCACACGCCTTGAATCAATCACATGACAGGCAGAGTCTCTGTGTGGTCAAGGACACAGCCAGCATGGTGAGCCTTTAATCCCAGTACCAACCATAGAGACCTGGAGGTCTGTGTAGACCAGACAGTGATGAGGAAGTCATGTGACTGGGCCTAGAACCAATGAGAAAGCAGAACAGAAAGTCAATAAAAACACAGGTTACACAGGAAGAAGCTCTCTCTGGGGAAGCGATGAGGTGGTAAGATAAGGTAGTCATGGCTCTTCGCTAGTTCTCTGATCGCTTTGGCTGTTACCTCTGTATTTGGCTCTGTGTTTCTTATTTAATAAGACTGCTTAGAAATTCGTCTACATTTGGCACCCACATGGCAAGAATTCATTAAAACACCATTGGTGGCCTCACAGGACAGAGGTTACAGGCCCCAGGCCTGGCCGGAGCTACAAGCGGTCCGGCCACATCCAGTCAGAGCAGCACGTGACCAGAGCTACAAGCTGCTACGTGCAGCTGGAGCTACTTGCAGCCAGATCACTGACTCACGTGGCCGGAGCTTAAAGGGGCCAGAGCTACAAGCAGCTCAGGCCTGAAATGGCTCAAGCCGGAGCACGTGACTGGACTTTAGCTTTTAGCTTTTTTCTCTTCTCCTGGTAGATAGTAGTTGCTTGCTCTCTCTCTCTCTCTCTCTCTCTCTCTCTCTCTCTCTCTCTCTCTCTCTCTCTCTCTGCAACCATGTTGTTTGTTCAGTTTCTGTGAAATCCTATGAGCCCAGGTTAGTCAACTCTGTGGGTTTTCTTGTGATGTTCTTGACCTCTCTGGGTCCCACAATCCTTCCTCCCTCTCTTCAGCAGGATTTCCTGAGCTCTGCCTCATGTTTGATTGTGGGTCTGCATCTGTTTCCACCAGTTGCTGGATGAAGCCTCTCTGATGACATCTGGGCTAGGCACCAATCTATGAGTATAGCAGAATATCCCTAGGCATCATTACTTTGATTTTTCTCTACAGTCCTCTTTGGTTCCGTCCTAGGTCTCTGGGGATCCAGCCTCTGGGTCCTGGCACTCCAGGCAGTGTCGGGGGTGGCCCACTCTCTTGGCATGGGTCTGAGGCTGGACCAGTCATTGGTTGGCCACTCCCACAATCTCTATGTCACCCTTATCCCAGCACATCCCACAGTCAGAACACAGTGTAGGTCTAAGGTGATGTAGCTCACTTGGGGTCCAGACACCTCCACTGGAAGTCTTGCTTGGTCACAGGAAGTTGCCAGTTCAGTGTAGGATTCCACTATTGCTAGGAGTGTTAGCTGGGGTCATCCTTGTCGATTCCTGGGAGTTTCTTTTGCACCAGGTTTCTACTGATCCTGAAATACCCCCTTTCCCGTTGGTTCTTTCAGTACTCCCCCCAAAAAAATACCCCACCTGATTCCTGGCCCCACCCCCACCTTGATTTGACGTACTTTAGAGCCAGTTTTTTGTAATTGTTAATCTTAGACCTTAGAAATTAATATCATATGTATTGTTTTCAAGTCTGATCCTTAAACACATTAGAGAACATACTCAGACTTTTGTGACTTATAAAAGCCATTTAGTTTCCCATTCTGAAGACGTATATCCATATAATCTTTATACATCAATCTTTATGCATTAAATAATTTTTATATTTTTATAGTTTTTTATACCTTATCTCCTTATCTTTACAGCAATTTTATTTTTAAAACCACTATAGTAGTATATGTAGAGCTCCCTTTATTATTTTTAAAATAAAATTAGTTGGGGGGCCAGCTCACCTCCTTTTTTTTTTTTTTTTTTTTTGGTTTTTTGAGTCAGGGTTTCCCCATGTAGTTTTGGTTCCTGTCCTGGATCTCGCTCTGTAGACCAGGCTGGTCTTGAACTCACAGAGATCTGCCTGGCTCTGCCTCCCGAGTGCTGGGATCAAAGACGTGTGCCATGGCAGCCCGGCTCACTTCCTTTTATTGTGAAGGAGTATTAACATTCAACAGGTTTTGCTGTGATCATTTTAGGCTGGCATAGCTGAAGGTAGAAAGAGAGTAGTTCAACCTAGAAGATAGACCAGAAGTCCTGTATTGGATCTTCAAAGATCTATCTGATTATTAATACGGACTTAAAGACACCACAGGGATTAAAATATCCTCAAAATCTTTAAATGTCTGTATTTATGTACACATAGACTGCCTCAACCAGATGATTCATGAATATCTTTTGAGGAGAAGTTTCCATGTTTGAATCAAGATGCTAATTGCAATAGACACCATCATCATCTGGTGAATTGCCTGCCTCTCAATCATCTTTTGGGCTACCAGGTCCCCCTCTGTATTGTTTGGCTGTTTGCTTTCTACATATTTGGTGAAGAGGCGGGAACACTTGTGGTTTGCCACAATCTGGACTTTCCTGTGGGCTTCCTGCCTGCTTTCCTGTCCCTGTGTTTCCCAATGCCATCTAAGAACACATGGGAAGCAGCACGGTACATCCACCAGGGGGCGCTGCCTCCCAACAGCGGGGGAGGTTAACAGGTCCTGGATGGTGACTACTTGGATCCCTCCATTCACCAGTGGGGCAAAAAGTCGCTTATGTGACTACCTTTCTACCTGTACAATTTACAAAGAGAAGAAAGGGCCTGTCACCCCCTTTCACACCCTGCAGGGATGCTCACCTGGTCTCTTGCTGTCCTGTGTGTTCTTGCTTCTCTAGGTCCAGACTAGAAACACCAAGAAGGCAGGAAAAGCAGAAGCCACAAGAGCAGAAGCAGAGCTGGTGGCTTCAACAGTTTTCCTGGCTTGAGGTCCTGGAGAGACCAGAAAAGTTATAGTGATTGTATTCCACAGGGGCTTCCCTACCCTGCCTCCTCCCTTCCCCCTTAGAGTGATGCTTGCCCCATTTCCTCACCAAGGAGTGTAGGGACTTCAATGTTCTTGCTGCAGTGCCTCAGACGGCAGGTGAAGTGTGGTTCCTGTCCAGGAAGAACCCAAATAGACACCCAGGTCTGGTAGGTCCCATCCCCACTGGGCAGGATGGTCCCAGGGCCAAAGGTGTGCTGCTGTGCCAGCTTCCCATCCCGCAGCCAGGTCAGAGTGGCCACAGGAGTATACAGATTAAAAGCCCAGCACGTCAGGGTGATCCTGCCCAATTCGTGCACTTTGCTGGTCACTGTCATGTTTGGGGAACCTGAGAGATGATAAAGTGGGTCAATTAAGATGAGGACCTTTCAATCTCTGAATGGAGTGTTGCCCAGAAGAATCATCTAGTTCACATTCACTGCCCCCCACCCCCGCCCACTAGATGGCACAGCTCCCAGGGGTTATAGGACTGTGGGAGGCTGGGGCTCAGCTCCAATGGCCCTTGATGCCCTTGAAGATCCATCCCTTATTTACATGCTGATGATGAGAGGACAGGGTGTCCCTGCTGTCACGGGCCAGCAGTTCCTCTTTCCAACACAGGTCATAGATGAACAACAGGCACTGAGAGTACAGAGGCTCAGTGTTTATGGGGGCCACAGATCAGACCGTGGTGGGCTGTGCCTTTTCTCTATGACAAAGCCAGCTCATCAGTCACTAGGGGACAGGTGAGGGACTCTCTAAGTACAGTCAGCTGACTGTGGCCATGATTGTTTGTTCCTGGAGTTGGCCAAAAACTGATGACCAGTATCTTTCTTCCTTCACAAATATCCCAGGACAACCTCTATTTTCTGTTACAAGATTTATCTAAAGCTTTAAACATCACATTTCAGATCCCAGACAGGTCCATTATCATAACACTAGAAAGGTAGAGGCAGGTGGTAGTGAATTATGAAACTCTGTTCTCTGAAAAAGACAAGCCAAATAAAAAATAAAAGTTGATCTTTTAAATATTTTAGAATTATCTACTTTATTTTATGTATGTAAATGTTTTGCCTGCAAGAATGTATATGTACCATGTGTAAACTAGTGCTTACAAAAGTCATCAAAGGTATTGGATCCCCTAGAACTGGAGCTACAAATGGTTTTAAGCCCCCTCATGAACACTGGGCATTCACCCTGGGTCCTCTGCAAGAGCAACCAGTGCTCTTACCCACTGAGCCATCTCCCAAGCCCCAACTTGGGGGTGGGGATGGCAAAGACACAGGTTAGAAACAAAGCAGGTTAGAGTGTGCCTCCCCACTGCAGAACTACAGTGGGTCAGTCATCTCCTGCATACCTGCGGAAAGACTAGGCAGAGCTCAGTGAGGCTGGAGACCCCAAAAGCCTTTCCTGGTGAGAATCTGAGGGCAGAAACAACCAGTTATTATATAATGTCACCCTGTGGACATTTTCTCCAGCCTCCTTTCCCTGGGAGACAGGCCACCTGTGGTCAGATGAGTATATGAGATTCACACACAGCTCCATTGGCCCCTGACAATCTATGGGTGTCAGTCCCCACCTATAAGGAGAACTTGAGAGGACATGAAAATCTCACTGTCAGAGGCCAGCTGATCCAGCCTGTGATGCAGAAGACTTTGTAGACACTGATGGGACAAAGAGCTTCCCTGTTCTACAGGGACTGGACACCTGACACAGTGGACTGTAGCTCCTTATTCATAGAAGAAATGAAAGCCTGTTCTGCATGCTCTAAGGCACAGTGAGGTACCAACCTTCCCAAGTCAGGGAACTGACCAGGGTCCTGATTGTTTGCTAAAGGCTTTAAGTTTTTCCCCTTGAAGATTCCTGGATGATAAGTGGTTTCTTCATTCTGACTGCCCTTTCACCACACTGGTTTCTGTGGACACTCATTATGGGAGTGAACATGATGCCCAGCAGAGAGTGTCGATCCACAAGAGGCAGAAAGGAAGTCTGGTTAAACACTGAGCAGTAGCCAGTGTTAGTTTAAACTTTGAGAGTCTGATCCTGGGTAGTTTGTTTTAAGTATATTTAAGTTCAGTACAATTGGCAAAAAAGATTCCTGGTGATAATTAACTGAATCCTGTGTGCACAACTAAGCTTAGGACATGACTACATCAAAAGTCTTGGAAGGGACCAGTGACATCGACCATAAAAATAGATCCTATAGGTTAACTGAAGAAACAGGCTCAAGATAAACAATTTCATGATGAAGGTCTGGAGGAGAATAGTGTTGTAGATTGAATGAGTCAAACAAGATTAGGATAAGGGTCTTGGGGATCCTGTGTGCCCTGACCATACAGATTGCTCAAAGGTCAGAAAGCTCTTACCCATGTCTCTCTGCTCCCAGATTTCTGGGTGGAAAACATCTCTCCCTTTGAAGAGAGAACCCTTTGTGTTCATCATTCTCCTGGTTCCCTGGTGCTTATCACTGAGCACAAGGACCCAAAGGCCCCCTACTGTTCTGTGTTTTTGTCACAAGATTAAATTGAAGAAGAAGCATTGAACTTGACCTTCCTTAATCAAGACCAGAACAAGAGCAGAATGACTTTGACCCATGACACAGAATAGGTTGTGAACCAGCTCCAGGTGCAGAAGTCTCCTATCTCAACTCCCCATCATGATGACCCCACCTAAGGGACAGAACTCCACACACCCAGTTGTCTCAGTTCTTCAAAGTGAGCATCCCAGAATGTAGGACAATTGAGTGAAATCTAAGATTACTGACATTTGGGGACCTATAACTATGCACTCATGTCAGAGATACCTAAGCTTCCCCACTTAAGGTGCACAACAGTGGCTCTGGAGATTACTCACACTCCATCTGAGTGTCACCTTAGACTATGTGATGCTTGTCTAATTTAGTGAGAATCCAGTACCTCATAAGCACTGTAGCAAGACGCTGTCAGACTCAGTGAATGGACCCACCCACCCATAGTCAGTACCTGTATCCATCAATTGGTTCCCCGAATAAATCGAATATCTCTGGAGACGGTCAGGACATATGCCATTCAGAAAAGTCTTAACTTTTTCCACACTGGGGCCATGTCTCTCCCAGAATATCTTGGATGAGTATGCTGAAGGCACAGCCACTTTCCATGTTGGGATCTTCTGGTCAAAGATGAGGAAGTCTTGCCCATCATAGCCCAAGCGCCAGAAGCCTCCAGTGTTGTTTCCTTGGGTTTCACAGCCGAAAGTTGCCTGAAGGGTGTGAATGCCTGGCCATACCAGACAGAGACTTGTCACTTTATTTTTTAAGGACCTTATTTCCCTCTGGTCTTAAGGTGAGTTGGGCACATCCTGTGACCTCTCAGGAGTCAGGTCCTCCATCCCTCACAGAAGCATCACTAGTTTAATCATTCATCCCAGCTGTGTCCAGCCCCCAACTCTGACTTTAGAGGCCAGAGTTGAATTGCGTGCTTCTATCTCTGCCTACTCACCTCGATGCTGGCCCTTCTGGGTCATGACCTCAGTCAGCATCCTCCTGAGCTGCTCCTCCTTCTCCTGCATGTCCTCAGTCTCTCTTGTCCAGATCTCAGCTCCTCCTTGTCTCTTTATTCTAGGCCCCCAGAGCTCTGCTCTTCTCCTGTAGCTGTCATAGCGCAGGAAGAGCTCATTATCAATGTATCCCTGGGCCCTGAATTTGGACCTCCTTGGCCCCTCCAGAGACAAGGCCATGAGGTTATAGTGCAGAGTATGGGTTCCTAAGAGAGGAAGAGAAAAATGACACAATTAACAAGTTGATGGTTTTCACAGTCAGCTCTGCCTTGAGGAATTGAGCTCAGAATGTACTGTGTTCCTGTGTGAGTGTGAGAAGCCAAGAGGCTTTCATTAGAGCATGAAAGAGAAAAGGAGTGAGAGAGTGAGAGTCAGAAGGAGAGTTTGTAGTAGAGAGATGTAAAATGGCCTTCTGGTGTCTGAGGCCTGGGTACCATGAAGCCATGATGCTCTGGTGTCTTCCGCTGCCAGCCAGGGTCCTGGTGTTGTCTGGGCCCTGGTTGGTGCTGTGGGTCATGTGTCTGTCTGTGGCTCTACAGCAGCCAGGGTCTGATTCAATATTTGTGGTTCCTGTTGCAACCAAAGGCTGTGTGGTTGCCTGGGGTCTGATCAGCCAACCCGGACCATGTTGGTGCCCAAGGACCATGCATGCTGCAGCTGGCACCATGCAGATGTGAGTGGCCTGTCCTGCTGCCAGTGTAATGGTGACAACCCATCCAGAGCTGCAGTTGAGGGCCATGTCATGGTTGTGACCCCACTGCAGCCAGGGTCTGTGTTGATGTTCAAGGCTCCTGTTACCATGGACAGCCATGCAGATACCTGAGTTCTGGGGACATGTTTGTGTCTGAGGGCCACTGTTGCTGGGGCCATGCCAATCTGAGTGGACTGCACTGCCACCTGGGGCAATGGTGACATCCAGACATGGCTGCTGCTGAGGACCATGTCTGGGTCCATGGCCCAGCTGTGTCTGGGGTCGGTATTGATGTCTGTGGCCTGTGGGATTTCAGCAAGCCATAGGAACCCATGAGTGATGAAATCAGAAGGCCAGGCTGAGCGGTCCCTGCCATTGGTGGGCCTGGGGAAAGGGACCCTGCCCCTCACTGGACACAGAGCAAGAGAGCTGGTCTCTACCCTCATGGGAGAACTGGCTCCATTCTTGGGAGAGATGGCCTCACTGCTCACCACAGTTGAGGGAGAAATGATTTTAATGTAATGGGCATAGGGTATAGGATAAAAGGGCCAGACAAAGGAACACACCCTAACCCTGAAACCAGAGCCAAAAAACCCACTGTGGCCCTGGAACCAGAGCCAGTGAAAGAAACACACCCTGGCCCTGAAACCAGAGCCAAAAAACCCACTGTGGCCCTGGAACCAGAGCCAGTGAAAGAAACACACCTTGGCCCTGAAAACAGAGCCAGAAGGTTAAGAAGAGCCAGTGAAAGAAACACACTTTGTCCCTGAAGCCAGAGCCAAAGAAACATTCTCTGCCCCATCAGCTGAGCATGAAATCAGCCAATCTCCGAGATGCATGATTGAAATCTGACCAGTTCCCACCCTGAAAATCTCCACTGTGGAAAAACTCTGCCACAAGAAGCCATGTGTGGGCCCTGTGCCTGTTCCTTGGGAGTTTGCCTTTTTCCACCTTGGCAGAGGCAGCCACTCGTCTGGATTCCTCCCTCTCAATAAATCTCTTGAATGAGTTTTGGGTGAAGATCTTCTTTCACTGGAATGGAGAAGCTCAGAGAAGTTAACTACTTTAGAAGGAGCAGGAGCAAACTGCTACATTTCTTGGGGGGAGGGGTTCCCATTTAGCAGAGTGTGGCAGAGAAGTAGCAATTTTCACTGGAGCAGAGAAGCAAGGGACATCTCTACAGGGAAACTCTCTTAGTAGAGTGGAGTAGAGATGAGCTGTAAAGAATCTCTGGGAGAGGACCAGGATTAGCACATTCCTGTAGGTAAACCATCCACTATCAGACCACAGACATTGGTATAGCCTGGCTTCTGAAAGCCGGGATACCTTTCCCTTCAGAGCTGTAAATACTTAAATAGGAAACCTGGCTCCTCCTCTCCCTCACCTGAGGTGGGTGGCCCCTGTGGCCCAGACTGCCCAGTTCAGGTAGAACCCAGACCCACAGCTGGCCCTTGGGTTGGCCCACCCTAACATCTACCCATTCTAGGACCTGCTGGAGCTCCTGAAGTGACTGGTCCTGCGGAAAGATACTCGCGGGATCTCCACGACTCAGGGCTGCTGCAGGATATCCCAGAGGAGTTTCAGTGGGGTTGCAGTGATGACAGTGTACCAGAAACCAGAGGCTTTGAATCAGATCCATGACTCATTGCAGTCAACATTTGCTAGTAAAGCTGATTGGACAAAGGATATACTATGTGATTCAAAATAATATAAGGGAATACTTCAAAAAAATCTCTACTCCATGATGTTGAAAAATCAAAAAAAAAAAAGGGACACATTTCTAGATCGAGTCAAACCACCAAAGCTAAACCATGAAGTGATCAATAGCCTAAATATAACCATAATAAAGGGGAGATTAAAAAAAAGTAATGATAATCCTTCTGAAAAAAGCAAATGAACAAACACACACACACACAATAAAACAACCCAGGCCCATATGGTTTCACAGCATACTTCTACTGTATTTTTAAAGAACATCTAGAGCCAATTCTTCTTAAATTAAAACAAGACACATATGGAGCGTTCTCAAAATTGGTCTATGCCAGTATCAGTCTCATACACAAACCAAGTAAAGACACAGCAAAATCCCCAAATCACAGACCAGTATCCCTAGTGAACTCACATGCAAAATCCTGAATAAATGACTTGAAAACCAAATACAGGCACATATCACGAACGTCCTCCACAATGATCAAGTTGGCTTTATTACAGAGACACAGGAATGGTTTAGCATATGTAAGTTAACAAATATTATAAAGCCTAGTCACAGGTTTGCAAACAAAAAAAATCACAGGATTGTACTAGAATGTTTTAAGGTGTGTTACTTTTGTTTATGTTGCATCTGTTTAACTCTGTGAAGCTGTGTTACTGTGCCTGTCTAAAACACCTGATGGTCTAATGAAGAAAACTGAATGGCCAATAGAGAGCAGGAGAAAGGATAGGTGGGGCTGGCAGGCAGAGAAATATATAGAGGGAGAAATCTGGAAAGGGGGATGAAGAACAAGCCAGAAAAGGGAAGGACATGAAGGGCCAGCCACCCAGCTACACAGCCAACAAGCCAGGATGTAAGAGTAAGATTTACAGAAGTAAGAGAAGAGGAAAAGCCCCGGTGCAAAAGGTAGATGGGATAATTTTTTTTTTGTGATATATATTTTTTATTTTACAATACCATTCAGTTCTACATATCAGCCATGGGTTCCCCTATTCTCCCCCCTCCCACGCCCTCCCCTTACCCCCAGCCCACCCTCCATTCCTACCTCCTCCAGGACAAGTCCTCCCCCGAGGACTGTGATCAACTTGGTAGACTCAGTCCAGGGAGGTCCAGTCCCTTCCTCCTAGACTAAGCCAAGTGTGTAGATGGGATAATTTAAGATAAGGAAAGATGACTAGAAACTAAGCCAAGCTAAGGCCAGGAATTCATAAGTAATAATAAGCCTGCATGTGTGAATTTATTTGGGAGCTAGGTGGTGGGCCACTAAAAAAAGAATAAGAAGCAAACAACAACATTACAGGATCATTTTCATAGTTCCAGAAAAATCCTTTGAAAAAAAAATCAAGTATGTATATAAAGAAAGTAGCAGAAAACATATGAAATACATGAAAGGACAAAGAATTTTACTGGAGTATTGACCCGAAGAAATAAGGAGCTGGAGCTAAGAGTGAGAGCATGCATGGGGCTGTGCATCCGGTCCCTACAACCACAGTGAAAAATCTAAAGAGTATAGAAGATGGGAATTCCACCGAAGAAACCTGTAGCATCTGAAAGTTAGGACTTGTGATGGGATTTAGAGCCGATCTGAGTGGATAGGCTCTGCTATGGTGAGCAAATATATGGTTGGTTGGTTGGTTGGTTGGTTGGTTGGTTGGTTGGTTGGTTGGTTGGTTGGTTGGTTGGTTGGTTAATGGGCTCAGACAGTCTCTGACCTCCTTCTCCAGGAGATTATGCCCCCATTTGGGATCCCTGCCTCTCTCCAGTCTGATAAAGGCCCAGAGTTTGGTTTACCTCCCAGATTTCTCAAACCCTATCTAAAGCTTTTAACATCCCTAAGCATTTCTATATCCCTTACAATCTTCAATCCTCAGGGAAGGTAGAATGGACTAACCACTCCTTTAAAAATATACTTATTAAGACGTCACAGGAACTTCACCTTTACTGGGTATAACTATTGCCTCTGGCTCTTTTCAGGGTCTGGGCTCTTTCCACACAACCGCTTTAAATTACGCTGTTTGAACTCATGTATGGGAGGCCAGTTCTAATCCCTGGCTTTCTATTCAAACCTTTGCCACTCCCTGACCACCCGCTCACCCCCTTACTCTATCACCTCTATTCTCTCCTATGGAATTGTGCTGACCGTTCCCTACCCAGGCCATGTGACAACCCCTGCCCACCCCCAGTCAACAGCACGGATCATGTCCTTCTCCCACCCAAGGCCAGCACCCCTCCCCACTTCCCCCAAATGGCAGGGACCCTTCAAGCTAATTCTTGTGACCTCCATAGCTGCTAAGCTCAAGAGCTTTCCTCACTGGATTCACCCATCTCACCTACCGCCTTTTACCTCACCTCTACCCCAGGGTAATCCCTCCTCATGCACAGTGATGCAAACAGGGCCTTGCTCTCTTAAGTTCTAGAGGACACAGAGATCAACTGCCTGTTTCCAATTCCAGAAGAACAAGACTTCGTCCCACAACTGTACTCAACCCCACTGGATTGGGGACCCCATATGTTTTTCTTCTCGGTTCCCCCTCTGCGTTCTCCTGTCCCTACTGATCACACTCTGCTCCATCAGTTCCCGCCCCCCCACACCGTCTCTAATAACATATTCAAAGTTCTAATGAACCACTCAGCTGACTCACAGGACCACCATCAGCCACAGAGCTGGAGGTGCGAGGACCATCAAATACACCCAGGTGGTAAGAAACAGTAACACCCCAGAATTATTCACACCCCCAGACTCAAAATGTTCTGGACTCTGCAAAACAGACTTTAACATATAAAAGTTTATTATTGTAAACTGCCCTCAGCAATCCATCACCTGTGTCTCCTGGATGCTGAAGTGATAGGGCGATAATGAAAGGAAACAGATGCCTTAAGGTTTGTCTCAGGTGAAGATAGGAAGCCTAATTGATAATAGAAAAAAAAGCAGTTCCAGATTCCTGTCTCTCTTTGCTACATGACTCCATAATTTCAACACTAACCAATAAAATTCTGATAGAAGAATACTCAGCACTACAATATCATAGCTACAAGTTCAGGATTTAAATTCTCTTTGGTCACTTCTTAATATGTCTATATTTGTCTCCTTTGTAAAGTTAAAAATTCTTCTGAGCTCCAGGGAGTTGACTTGGACCCACCCGGACAGGTCAGATCCACTTCAAATAAGTATCATTCAAACTTTCCTGGTCTTGCGACCCCCTCCCTCATCCTTAGGGTCCCCCCTCATTTCCTCCCCCACCAAGTACCAGGATCTAAGAAAAAATATTTTCAAAACTTCAACTTCTGCCTCACCAGCATCCTGTCAGGCCCAGGCTGTAAGATCCAAGCAACACTGGATGATTGCCAAGGGCTCAGAACAGCAGTGAAGACAATCAGCTACCTCAGGACAACCGGCTACCTTGGAAAAAGTCCCCTGCCGCTCCCAAAATTAACTGGTGCCCTCCAAGTCAGCTGGAAGCAGTTCCAAGAGACACAACGCCCAGTTCTCATTCACCCACCACCCCTAATCCCTTACTTTTATTAATAACAAAGAGGCTGGAATGTTATTCCTAGCCACTTCTGGAGTCACATGACCACACATGGTGTCAGCAGTCAGGCAAAATGCTTAGTCACTCCAGGGCCTTACATCCTATGTAATCTGTGCATAGCATGGTCAAGTAGTCTGCGCAAAGTGTGGTCACGTAAGCCATGTGCATGTGTGGCACAGCTACATAAGCCCATATGTGCATCCATGAGGCGACCTATAAAAGCAGACTCCACCCTGCCCTCTCTGCACATTTCTCTCTGGGAGGCCTACTCATGTCTGTCCTTTCCTTCCCCTAATAGAATCTCTTATAGTGGGTTTTGTTGTACCTCGTGTTCTCTTGTGCCCTGTAAATAACATCGGTAAATAAATAACACTGGGGACCCAATGCCTCCCTGGGCTGTGGTTATCACTGTAGGGTAAAAGGGCCAGTGAAAGAACACCCTGTCCCTAAGACCAGAGCTAAAAACACTTCCTGCCCCTAACCAAGTTCAGGACTTGAAGTCCCATCAATCCCTGAACTCTGCTCAGAGTCTGACCAGGGTTTCCCTGGCAAAGTGTTAACAGCCCTGGCTCTGGCTCTGGCTCTGACTCTGGGAATGGTTTCCTTGATGCGAGTGTAAGAACTCTGCTCCAGCAGGGGAGGGGTTTACAGCTCTGCTCTGCTCCAGCAAAAGAGTCATTGCATCAGACCTCACCCAATAGATTTATTGGGAGGGAAAAATCCAGCAGAGTGTTTGCCTCTGCTAGGGAGAAAAGCAGTGAAAACTGAACAGGATACAGAGCTTATATTGTTTCTTGGGGGCGGAGCTTTCCAGCTCTGGGAAACCATTGGCCATCCTGCCCCCATCAAGTTCCTGGGAGTCTGTGATTATACCACTATGCTAGGACAGCCAAGCACACTTCCTCCCACAGTCAGAATCCTTTAGACATGAAAGTTCCTCCAAATGGCTACCAGATGTGCATCTTTCCAGGGACTCAACTAGATAATACACACATATACACAGAGAGAAACACAGACACACAGACATACACACACAGACACTCAGACATATACACACAGAGACACAGACACAAACATACTACACAGACATGAGATGCACAAACACAGACACACAGAGAGACACATAGACACAGACACACGCACAGCACATGGACACACACATACAAAACAGAAACACAGATACAAACACAGAAACACACAGGCACACACACAGAGAATCACACAGATATGCTGCAAGTCACAGGAAAATGTAATGGAATCCAGCTTCTATCACAAAAGCTATTACTTGGAAAGGTCAAGGACTTTTCCGAAGGGCAATCCATGGCTTAAGGAGTTTTGGTGATATTTTAGCTTTTGTATACGTATTAGCCGATTCCTGCAATGACTTTCTTATACGCTGTGTATGCTTCCAAGAACTCCTAACAGTGTATTTACCTGATATTCTTCTCAAGCACCCTAGGCTGTAACAGCAAACCAGGTGCGATGTACCCATGAGGCAGACTGCCTAGGTCTGGCAGTGACCAGTGTATGGCGGCACAGGAAAAGAGAGGCAGTTTTGTTTTAGTGACTTAGAGACTCTTTTACCTAACCACCTGTGGGATTGTAGTTTGAGCACATTTGTGACAGACTCATAACGTTTCACCTGACCACTTATAAGAATATACTTTGAGCACATAAATTCCCTTTCTGACTTACTCCAGGCCTTATCAACCCCACCTCCTCTATTCACATCCCCGTTGTGGATGAAGCTGGCTATCATGGCTCTGGTAGGGCGCTTGGAAGCTTTGCTTGGTATTGGAAGAGTCAGGCTGCCGGTGAGATGGAGACCAGTGCCGCGAGATGGAGACCAGTGCCGCGAGATGGAGACCAGTGCCGCGAGATGGAGGGGAAGGAACAGAGATGGAAAAGAATGAGGATGAAGAAGAGGGTGGAGATGGAAATGAGTTAGAGTTGTGAGAGGACAGGAGGAGAAGGGACAGAGAGGAGCTAAGTACAAGAACAGAAAAGAAGCTGTGTAGAGAGAAAACTGACTCAAAAGAAAGAAAGAAAGAGAGAGAGAGAGAGAGAGAGAGAGAGAGAGAGAGAGAGAGA